AAATAAGTTAAATTTTAAAAAAATTAAACATGTTCAAGTTTTTTCAGAATGGTTATTTGAATTTAATTTTATTAATGAAAATACAAAAAAATTTATTAAATTTATTAAATATTTAAATTAAATATCTTGAATTTCTTTTTTTAAAATTTCTAAATTTTGATCAAATCTAATAAATTTACCAAATTGATTTAAATTATTATATAAATTATTCATAAAATCATCCATAAAACAAAAACATAATAATTTAAAATGTCTAATTTCAGATTGTTCTAAATATGGTAATTGTTTTCTTTTAATATCAATTAAAATTTTACAAATTGGATCAATTAAATAAAAACCAAAATCTAAATTTTCTAATAAATCTAAAAAACAAATTTCTTTTAAATCATTTAAATAAATTAAAATATCATTTAATAATTCAGCTAGAGGTAAAAATTCTAAAATTTTTAAATTATTTTGATAATTATCTTTAAATTTATATTTTAAAATTGATTCTTTAAAATTATTTAAAAATAAATTCATAAAAAATTTAAAATTATAATTTAATTTTTTAATAAATAAATTAATAATAATAGGTCTAATATCAATTCCAATTTTAGATAAAGTATTTCCTAAAAATAAACATTCATTTAATAATTTTTTATATTCTTCTCCATTTAAAATTGAATCTTGTAAAAAATTATTTAAATTATTTAAATATGGTTTAATTAAATGTTGAATACATGAAGATAAAATTAAATCTAAATTTGTAAATATACTTTTATATTGTGTTATAATTTCAAATATAAAATTTTTATATAAATTTGTTAATTTTATAAAATTTTCAAAATTATTTGAAAAATCTAATTGTTGATTTAAATAAAAAATTCTTGATTGTAAAAATAACATTTTAATTTCTTCTTCATTTTGTGTTATTTGCATTCTTTTTAAAATTCCAATTATTTGTATACTATTTTTAATATTAATTTCTTGTTTTAATTTATAAATTAATTGTGATAATATTGTTTTCATTATTAAATTAATTTCAATTATTATATTTTTAGTAATTTCTATATTTGGATATTGTTCATATATATCATATCCAATTTCATATATATCTAATGCTTCTGTATATAATTGATTTTGTATACATAATTTTAATAAATTTGGTATTTCTAATATTTGTAATATTCTATTTTGATTTTCATTTAAAATTAAAATTTTACTCTTTTCAATTTTATATTCAGATTGTTGTTGATATTGTAAAGTTTCTAATAAATTTTTAATTTTTAAATAAATTTCATCATTAATTGTAATTGTTAATTCATTTTTTAATTTATTAGTATTAGAATTAGAATTATTATTAGAATTATTAATAGTATTAGATGATGGTGATGATGTAGATATTGATTATTATTAGAATTAATAGAAGGTGATATTGTTGTTGTTGTTGTATTTAAAAGTGATAAATTATTTAAATCATCTAATTTTTGATAATATTCATTTAATATATCCTTTTTTAAATCTAGTAATTGAATACATTCTGATTGAAGTTTTTCTGTTTCTTGTTTAATACTTTGAAACACTTTTTCATTATTTAAAAATACATTATAGTTTTTAGATGAAAATTCAATCATTCGCTTTTTTAAATTTGTTAATTGTTGAGGAATTTCATATTCTTGTTCTCTAATTAAATGTTCTATATTATTAGAAAAATAATGATGAAGATGATTAGAAGATGATGATGTTATTGTTGATGATGATGATAGCGATGCTGATGATGAAGGAATATTAAATAGTGAAGATGATGATGATGATGGTGTGATGGTCATGGATGAAGAAAGGCTTGTCATTTTTTTATTACGTGGGCTTTTTTGATCAATAGATATTAATTGATGATATTGTAAATCATCATCACTATATCGGAATCTTTAAATTACACACAGATGGATAAATCTAATAGCATTGAACAAAAAGGCTAATAACAATTTGATGGATTCATAATTTGTATTGTACTTTTTATTGGTGTGAAGTTGGTGAAGAAGGCTTTGAAATAAATTCGTTAACATACAAATTTTAAATTTAAAAAAAAAATGTTAGCATCAACACCAGCAGGTGAACACGGTGTTGTATTCCAACCTAACAACAACAATATCAATTTTAATAATCAATATTCCGTGGCATCACCATCCATGATGAATGGTTCAGAATCTTCATATCAACAAGAACAATACTATACTAGTAATATCAACAATAATAATGGATATCCACAAAATAATATTCCATCACAAGTTACATCATCAATGAAAGTTGAAAGTAGTCAAGTTGATACTAGTAAGAAGGATCAAAAATCGGAAAAGAAGAAAAAGAAGAAAAAGTCTACTGATAAAAAAGCAAGATCTGCAGAACCACGTCTACCATACAAAGTCTTACATCAAAAGTTAGTTTTAGATGTAGATTTGTATCAAAAGGCTTTGATAGGTTATACTGATATTATTATTACACCTTTCCACAATAATATTGATCAAATATCATTACATTGTCTTCAATCAAGTATGTTATTTAGTAATTAGTTTGATAATTCTAATTCAATTAAAGATGTAACTGGTGTTCATGCACTTTTTATAAACAAACTTAAATCACAACCTATTGTACAACAAAATGAGGATCAAATTCAACAAGTAACTCATAATAATATTCAAAATCAAGTTAATCATCATGATTTGGAAGTATCTATTAAAGAATTCATGTTACAATATGATATTGAAAATGAAGGAACATTAACTATTAAATTTAAAACACCATTACTAAAGAAAACAACATCATCTATTAGAATTTTCTTTGATTTGAAAAATCCTCTAAGTGGAGTCTATTTTGTAGATACAACAAGTAAAAATGATCAGTCAATGATAGATGATAATGAATTGAATTCTAATACTTCAACTACACAAACAAATAATAATGATATGATTGATGAAAATTTATCATCACTTAATAGTACAATGCCACATATGTATACACAAAGTCAAATGCAAGGAGCAAGATGTTGGTTTCCTTGTGTTGATTTATTATCATCATTTCATTCATTTGAATTTGAAATTACAAGTCATGCTGAAGCAATGATAATTTGTTCAGGTGATTTGATAAAACAAGTTGAAAATTATTCAGGTACTTTAAAAACATCCTATTTTAAAACAAAATCCATCATTTCACCTTCAAGTGTTTGTATTGCAGTTGGACCATTTAATATTTCATATTCAAGTTTAACTCTAAATTCCTATGATTTAATATTAAATGCTTTTTATTTACCAAGTTATTCATTGGAATCTATTAGACATACTTTAGGATTTGTGAAAAGAGCTTTAATATTTTTAGAAGATTATTTAGAATTTAAATATAAGGATTTATTTAATTTAAATACACTTAATATTGTATTTATTGAAAATGGTTATACAAAACAATCAACATTTAGTGGAATTTGTTTATTAGATTCAAATCAAATGATATTAGAACCAAATATTATTGATACAGTACAAGATAATAGAATGAGTCTTGTTCGTTTAATAACTGAACAATTTTTTGGTAATTTTATTCATTCCAAAACATGGTCAGATTATTGGTTAATTGAAGGTATTGCAGGATATTTAGCCTATCAATATTATGAAAGTGAATTTGGTCAAAATGCTAAAAGATTTAAAATAATGAAAGCAGGAAAGGAATTACTTTCAATTGAAAATCATACACAATCATTATATATTGAAAATTATTGTCATCCAAGTGAACTTTTAACAGAATATTTACTTAAGAAATCACCACTTGTTATTTATATGATTGATAGACAAATTTCAACTTCTAATATGAGAAATTTATTGAACAAATTTTTAAAAAATGCTCATACACTTGATAGTAAGAGATATAATGATCGTTTAATTTCATCATCAAGTTTTATCAAGACAATTGGTAAAACTTTTGCAACAGATTTAAAAGAATTTTCATCTTATTGGATTTATGGTACTGGTATTCCACAATTTGCAATTTCATTTAAATATGATGATATGAGAAGTTGTGTTGATTTAAAAGTTAAACAAATTTTACCATTTCCTGAAATTCAACCTTTTAGAGGAAAAGTAACTGTTAGAATTTTAGAATCTGAAGGAGCACCAAATGATTTTATTGCAAATTTAGATAAGGAAGAAAATCAATTTGAATTTCATATTAATTCTAAACCTATTAAAAAGCATCACAAAAAAGTTCAAGGTGGACAAGGACAACCAACAGAAGCTGTTCGTGTTATCATTCCATTAAAATGGATTAGATTTGATCCAGAACAAGATTGGATTAAAGTACAATCATTTTCACAAACACAAGAAATGTGGAATTATCAATTGAATGATGTTAAAGATGTTGTTGCACAATATGAATCAATCAAAGCTTTAACATTCTTTGCAGATACTGAACCTGTTATTACAATTTTAAATAGAATTTTAAGAGATAATTCTTATTATTATCAAATACGTGTTTGTGCTGCACATGCTCTTTCTAAAATTCCACAACCAATTGAAAAGAAAGAAGCTTTAAATGTTTTAATTGGATTTTTTAAAACACAATTCTATGATGAACAATTAACTTATTTAAAACCAAATAATTTTAAGAATTTTGCTGATTATTTCCTTAAAAAGGAAATTCCATTAGCTTTAACAAATTTTAAAGATGATAAGGTTAATAATGAAACATTTCCAGAAGTTGTTTTACTTTTATTAGAATTAATCAAATATAATGATGATTCTGAGAATTTATTCTCTGGAAATTTCTATATTGCTAATTTAATCAAATCAATTTCACTTTTAAATACTTCAAATCCTAATTTTAATCAAAAAATTGAAAAAATACTTTACAAATATTTAGTAATTGATTCTGATTTAATTCCAAGTTATCATTATATCAAAACTGTTACTTCTTTAGAATCAATTGCAAATTTACAATCATCTGGTAAATCTAAAATTAATTTGGATGTTTTTTATAGATATTTGGATTTTAAAAAATCAGATCATGTCAGATTTTCATCATGGCGTTGTGTTATGAATATTTTAGATTCAATTTTAGATTCTTCTTCTTTAAATAATAATAATATGAATGGTAATAATTTAAATAACAATAATTTAAATGGTAATAATTTAAATGAAAAGAATATAATAACATCAAGTGGAGAATTAATATCAGAATGTTATTCAAATGTAGAATTATTAACACATGTTAAAATAATATTTAATAGATTTATTTCATTATTAAATGATGAAAATGAAACAAGTCATGCTAAATATGAAATTACTAAAATTATAACACAATCAATATTTAATTGTTCAGCACGTATGCTATTAGAATTTAATAATAAGAAAGTTTCATTAGCATTTATTAAAAAAGTATCAGCATTGGGATTATTTTTAATTGATATAAGATTATCAAAAATAACAAATAGAAAATTAGTTGATTTAATTTGGAATTATTTACATGATTCTAAATATACACAATTTGATTTTAAATTAAGATCAATAATTATGAATTTATACAAATCTATTTGGTCTTCAAATATTCCATTGTGTTATGATTCTAAATTTGTTAATAGTAATAATTTTGATCATGCTATTTTAGTTGCACCTTCTTTATATGGTATTACTGATTTGAAAATTGTTCAACCTCAACAATTGAAAAGTCATCAATATTTAGCAAGTGAACAACCACGTGTTGTATTTGATTCAAGTCAATTATCAAATTTTATTTCTTCACCTGCACTTGCACCAACTATATTTACAACAAGTCAAATTGATAAGAAGAAACGATCTTCAAAATCATCTTCTGCTGCTCTTTCATCACTTGTTTCAAGTGCTACAGCTAATAATTCATCATCAACTGGTAGTGGTAGTGGTAGTAGTAATGGTAATGGACTTAGTGTTGTTACTTCACTCTCTACACCAACAACCATTACAATTTCTACTGCAGGTCAATCTACTGTTATTAATTCAAGTAATGGTAGTACTATTGGTAGTAGTACTAGTAAAGAAGGATTCAAAGAAGAAGGAGTCATCTTCCTCTTCCAAATCTAAATCGTCCTCTAAGAAAGAGTCCTCCTCTTCTGATAAAAAGGATAAAGATTCCTCAGAGTCTAAGAAGAAGGATAAAGATTCTGAAAAGAAGAAATCCAAGAAGGATTCCGATAAGAAGGATAAGGATTCTGAAAAGAAGAGAAAGAGAGACTCTGAAAAATCTTCACCTTCTTCCTCATCTAAAAAGAAGAAGGAAGTTGTTGAACCTGTTACACCAACCACTGTAAAAATCAAGTTAAATACACCAATTACAACACCGTTAGCTAGCAGTTCAACTTCAATGACAACACCTGAACAACCTAAAAAGAAAAAACCTTCTTCAAAATCCAAATCAGAAAAGTTAACTACACCTGCTTTAACAAGTGAAAAATCGACCAGTTCAAGTGCTTCTGCATCCTCATCATCTGCTATTGGTAGTAGTAGTAGTAGTAGTGGTAGTAGTAGAGGTGGTACAAGTCTATCAATTAAGAAGGAAATTAATATTGATGATCAACTTGTAACACCTGCAGCAGCAGCAACAACAATAGCACAAACACAAGAAATTGGTAAGAATGAAAAGGAATCTATTGAAAAGAAATTGAAAAATCGTGAAGCTAAAAAGAATCAATGTAAAGCAACTCGATTAATTTTAATTACATTTGATACAAGTGAAATTAAAGTTTATGTTGAATTGGATGATGATTCACCAACAGCAGATGTAATTTATCGTAGTGTACCATTAGCATCACCTCTAGTACAATCACCTGGTAAAGGAATTGTTTATTTTACATGTGAAATTGAACATATTGAATTAGAAGAAACAGCAAGATCTGAAGTTAAACAAGGTGAAATTGCATTCTGGGTTAGTGGTACAGCATTTGTTTTGGGATTTGGTAAAACAGTATTTTCACTTGCTAATGAAACACGTCTCTATCAACCATGTAATATATTTGGTGAAATGATGTATCCAGTTAAATCATTACAAAAAACAGCATTACAACAAAAAGTAACTGTTAGTCGTTTCCCTAGAGTTTATATTGATTTACCTGAACTTGATAAACGTATCGATATTGATATGTATGATACATTTAAAGATATTACAAATGGATATATTGCACCTAGATTACCATTTACTAGACAATTTATGCCTTTATTTGGTAGAATATTATATTTTAATATTGGACATATTGATACATCACATTTAGAATCAGTTTCACCTGGTTTTCATAGAGATTATTTATATCCAGGTGAAATTGCTTATTGGGCAGGTGGTGATTCACTTTTACTTGGTACAGGTCCAACAGATATTAAGAAACACAATCATAATTCAAAGGAAATTAGATATAATTTATTGGAAAATTGTTTTATTATTGGTAAAATTGTTTCAGCTGATTATAATTTATTACCTGATTTAATAGAAAAATATCCACACACACCACTCTATTTTAATAGACGTGAATTGGTTATTACCATTGATTTTGAACCAAATTTAAATGAACAAATTAATGGTGAAGGTGCTGTTAATAGTTTGGATATTTTAATTGGAGTTTCAGGTACAATGAGTGGAGATATTATATTTGATACTTGTTTTAATGGATATGAAACAAGAGGTCATGAAATTACTCAACCACAAGGTGATAAATGTGGTATTGTTGGAATTAAATTAAATCCAAAAGAAAATCCAATTTTAGAAACACTTCAACATGAAATTAATAATGCAACTGAAACTGCAAAACCACAAGAAGTTGTTTTATTTTGGGATTCACATACTATTGGTTTTCCATTTTCAAATAATCCTGAAACTGCTCCTTATAATTTACCTGAAATGGCAAATCCATTTGGAAGTTTTAAACAAGTTTTAAATATGGAAATGAGTTATTATCAATTTATTAACTTTTTACAAAACAGAAAAGTTAAACAATTTACAATTACAAAGAGAGAAATTGAATATAATTAAAATCATTAGAGAGATACCATTGAGGAGTAGAAAAGTATTATTAAATGACAATGGTTGATAAGAAAGTTCATCAATTCAATTTAGAATTTAATGTATTAAAATTACATATAATCTCTCTTCAAGACATGTAAAAGTTGATCAAAATGATTCCAACAAATAACCTCAGTAAACATTAGAAATTTCTGTAACAGTCAATTTTTTAAAACTACAAAAACCGTTCGAAAAAAACAGAAAATTCCCTCCAAACATTAAAAAAAGTAAAATACCAACAACACCAACACCACCTCACATCTAAGCATGTCATCAGATGCTCGTCTGATTCAATCACTAGAGGAAACTGCTCAATTTATTTCTAGTAAATATAAACTTGATGATGGTATGTTTGTATAATAACACTTTGTCATCCCGACTCTATAAAACATTGTACCTTAAATATGACATATCATTGTAGTATTGAATACCATTTCAAAGAGGAGACGTAATTCTCTTAAATCGTCATCATCCGAAACAACAAATATTCCTCAAATAGCCTTAGAGAAAGTCAATAATTCTCAGAGGCTTCAAAGAGAAGAGGAAGAAGATGATGGTGCACCATCTGTTCTTTCAGCTCGTTCTCATAATTCAACAAGATTAAGTATTAAAACACCTAATAATCAACAACAACAACAATATGAAGTGATTACACCTACAGGCTATTTACAAAATTCATTTCATTTCAATAATAATAATCAATCAATCAACCTCAATCGACCTTCAAGTGCAGCATCAAGTAATAGTTGTGTAAGTCAAAAAACAAGTACAAGTCAAACAATGTATCCTATTAGTAATTCAAAACTTTCTTCACCTAATTCAGTTCCAATTTATCCATTTTCAATGACAACAGATCATCAACAACTCAATACTCAACAATCTCTAATTCATGAAGAACAATTACTTACTCCAAGACAACAATCATGCTTAATGAATCAACAAGAAGAAATATTTTCAATTCATGAATTAGATAGTGCTTCATTAAGATTACTTCAGGAAATTCATGATCCTAAATCTTCCCTAAATAGTAGTAGATCAAATAGTAGTTTAGGAATTCATAATCAAAATAATAACAATTCATTTCATTCTTCTTCTAATAATTATTCACAACAATTAATTAATGATGAAGAATTAAATCAAGCTATAAATAGTCATAACCAATTAAGGAAAGAAATAAGTAATGTCATTCCACAACAAGATTTTATTGAACCACCAAATGAAGAAGAATCAATTCTAGAAGAAGAATATGTTGAAAATTATGAAATTGATGAAACATATGAAATTGAAAATCCACATTTAAATAGAATTCATTTAACAACAAGTGAATCAATTATTAATGAAGTTTTTGATTTAAATAACAAACAAACAAGAGAAACAATTGAACAAGTCATTTCACAATTAACTCAAGTTGAAGATGAATTAGATAAACAAGAAGATGAATTAATTATTAAGGAACAATTTTTAAATCCAATAATTTTAAATAATAATTTAACTAATAATTTAAATAATAATTTAAATAGAACATCTTTGAATCAATCTATTAATAATATCAATAATAATAATATGAATAATAATAATACATATACTAGTCAACAACAATTAAATCAATCGAATCCTTCTAATAATCTTAATAATTTTACACAATGTATACCACCATTAAATGAAGATGTTGATTATAAAACAAGATTACAATATTATATGAAATATTTATTACATTCTAATGAAAAGATAAAAATGGAAAGTATTAAAAATTTAAAAGAATTAATTTCTAATAATCAAATTTATCAATCCTCAACAGATATATATTATAAACTAGTTGAAATATTAAATAATAATATAATACAATTATTTTATAATCAAACCAAAATATTAAATAGAAATGTAATTGAATTATTAATTTTATTATATAAATTTATAAATAATGAAATAATTGAAAATATAATTGAATTATTAAAAGATTTTAAATATTTTGAAATTTATGATTCAATATTAACATTATTATTTAGATTAGGTATAACAACAATTGAAAGAGTATTTGAAATATTAAATATTGAATCAGAATGGAATAATATTATTTTAACACATTTAGTAAATCATCCTTTAATTATTGAAAATGTAATACTTCCTATTTTACATAAAGAATGTTTATCATTTGATTTAGATAAAAGAGAATGTGCTATTAAATCAATTAAACATTTTGGTTTAATTTCACATAAATGTTTAAATACTTTACTAAATATGTTAATTAATGGTTCATGTGATAGAATTTTAATTGGACAAGCAATTAGATCTATGGGAATTGAAGGTGAAAAATCTTTAATTAAATTAATGGAATCTTCAAATTCTAAAGTTAAAGAATCAATTGCTACTGTTTTTGGTGAATTACCATATTTAGTACAATCTCATTTAACTATAATTGCAAATTCAGATATTCATCATTTTATCAAATCACAAAATCCTAGAATTTTATATTATTTTAATGGTGATGATCAATTACCTCCTTTATTATTATTTGATTCAAGAGAATTAATTTCCATAACTAGAAATATTATTAGAGATGGTTTATTAGATGAAATTGAATTTGGAAATCAATTTACATGTAAATCTGAATTAACTTTATTACATGCAATGGTTTCATCTTTAAAACCAATTATTTATAATGATACTATAAATGGAAATAATACATTTTTAAATAATACTACTTGTATTATTAATAATAATTATACTTTATTAAATAATACAATGAATAATAATTATAAAAATCAAACATCAATACTAAATAATATTAATAATACTAATAATATTAATACATCATTTAATTCAACTTGTTATAATTCTCAACATGATCAAAATACATCATTTTCAATATTAAAAAGTTATTATATAAAAGAATGTCAAAGAATTAAACAATTATATCAACCTAATAATAATATATTTAAAAATATTAATAATACAACTACTATTACTACTATTATAGAAAATCAAAGTGGTAATATTTGCAACAATAGTAGTGGTAGTAGAAAAATGTATTTAAATTCATATTTTGAACAAGTACAAGTGAATACAATTTCAAATGAATGTTTAAATAGTTTAATTTGTAATTTTAAATATTCAGATGAATGTGTTAGAATTGCAAGTGTTAAATCAATTATTAATTTAATAAGTTTAAATAATATTAATCAATTATTAGAATCATTAAAAATTGAATGTTTAACAGATCCATCACCAAGAGTAAGATCATTAGCATTGGATGCTTTTGCTAAAATTGGAAAATCATGTTCATGTTTAAATAGAAGAGAAAAGAGATCAATTTTACAATCAATATTACCATTAATAAGAGATTCACATTGGAATGTTAGAATGAGTGCATGTAATGCATTATGTGAACATTATTTACAAATAATTAACATGTCTAATTTTGATAAGGATTTTTATAGACAAATTTTCCATATTTTAATAACTGCATTAAGAGAAGGAACTTTATCAAGAAATGAAATTTGTAAATGTTTAAGTTTATTAGAATATGATGGTATTTCACAATTAATTTATTTATTAAGACAAGATTCACAAAGTATGAGTATTCAAGTTAGAATTTCATCTTGTTATGGACTATCTTTAATTTCAATTGATTCTCCATATATAGATAGAATAGTTGAAACATTATTCATGACTTGTAATTCAATTGAAAAAACTCCACCTCTTGTTAGAAAAGCTGCTATTAAATCTTTAGGTGATTTAGCAAGAAAATCTAAAGACAAATTATCATATCTAAGTCCAAGATCACTTTTACCATTTTTATATTCCTTTTTAAAAGATAAGCATTTAATTGTACGTCAAATGTCTGCTCAAGTTTTAGCTCATTCAGGTCCACATGGTGAATTATTATTAATGGAAGCATTATTGAAAGATTCAAATTCAATTATTCGTTCAAGTGCTGCTTTTGGAATGACTTTTATTGGTCCAAAATCAATCATTTCATTAATATTAGCACTCTCAAATGAAATTAATTCACAAGTTAAGAAATCAATTTATATTTCAATTGAATCTTTTAAATTTGATGAAATTATTTCAATTATTCAAAACAAATCTCAAAAGGATTCAATTTTAAATACTTTATACACAATTTTAAATAGAATTAATAATTCAAGAGAAAATTGTTATCCATCAGATTATGTTTTAGATTTGTTTAATTATATTATTAATACTTTTCATTTAGAAAATCAACAATAAATTGTTTTTTCAATTAACAATTATTCACCATCATCATCAGATTAATATTTTAGATTATTTTAGATTAATGTTTGATTAAATCAAATTATTGTTCTTATATAAATTTAAATATTAAATTATTTAAAAGAATTATTTGGAATGGAGGCTAACATTGGATCTGATAATTTTCTATTATCGGAAATAGTACTGTATGAATTTGTTATTATTGGTTTTTGATTAATTAATAATGGTATTTGATTATTATTATTATTACTACTACTACTGATGGTATTATTAGCCTTTGATGAATTTGAAGAGGATGGCATATTTGATGAGTCTGTAAAGGTTAGGGAAGGAATTTTGTTATTATTAGTATTCATTGTATTGCCATTTGTCAACATTTTAGGCTGATGTTGTTGATATTGTACTTGTAACATTGGAATTGAATTTGATTGATTCATTCTCTCATCCATAATCATTGCAATTTGATTAGCCTGAGAATTAACTTTATCAACAGCATCAAATAAAGAATGAATAATAGCCTCTGTTAATGAAACTGGTACATTTCTATCTTTTTGTAATCTTCTACGTGCTTGAACAATTTTAAGAGATGAAAATAAACTAGCCAATGCTCCAATAATCATATAAAGAGGTGTTGATGACATTTCCGATTTTCTCCTCTTCTTGAAAAAGCCTTTACAATAAATTATTTTTTTTTAAAATAAATTCAAATAAATAATTGATAGGAAAATCGAGAATGATACCATTTCAACCTTGTCTTTGAAAACATGAATCATATTCCATCCAAATATTAATAACATCTAAAAAAGAAACAAATTAAATATAAAAATTACAATAAAAATTTTTAGCCTTTTTTTGAAATTTTAAAAAAAATGAAGAGAGGTCTTGTTCGCACCACTTCGATCCTCACGAGGCCATCAGCATGGAGAAATTGTCCTATTGCTCTCGTTAATAATATTAATTCTATTGTTATTAATACAAATAATACACAAAGTAGAAACAAAACTATTGAAGCTAATAGAAAAGTTGATTTTAGTTGGGGACAAAATAGAAAGGCTGCCTTGAAGCACACTTATTTGACTGTTGAACAATCCAAGGAAGCCGTCAATGATTTGAAAAATGCTTTGGAAACTAATTACAAGACTGATATTGAAAATATCTCATCAATGTGTAAGTTTTTACTTTGAAAAAACGCGGAAATGTAGGAACGATATTAGCTAATGAAACCCAACTCTATGAAAAGTATATTCAATATATGGAATTAATGTTAAAAGCAAGGAGTGTTGTTTGTGCTAAATACGGTATTAATACATCCAACAATGATACTAATGGTATGTTTACAATGATGACAATTTTATTCTTACAATATAACAATATATAATAGATCGTAGACTTCGTATGTCTTTGGGAAGAAATAGTGCTAATGATGAAGAATTACTTAAGCAAATTCAAGACTTGCACCAATATTTGGCCAAGTCTTGCTTCGGAATTGAAAAATTAGAAACTAGATTGGAAGAAATTCGTGTTTTGGGTGTTCACCAATTGGCTAAACAAAAAATGGTGGAAGAGTTTGAAAGTATAGCTCATACACTCTCATTGGAAGAATTCCTTCCAAAATCACGTACAACATTGTTCGACCTTGAAAGAAGTTTGTTGAAATCATATGCTGTAGATATTGCTAAGGAAGAAAAGAGAAAGAGCCAATTTGAAAATGGTGAATTAAGTGAAGAAGAGAAAATGAAGTCCTATGTTGATTGGATTAAGGAAGTTCAAGTTGACGAATCTGAAATTCAAAACAAGTTGGACAAACCAGAAGATTGGATTACATTTAGATTTATTTTGAACGATTTGCTTTTTAGACATGGATAAATTTACAATTAAAACATTTTTGTATAAACAGCGAGCTTTTCTTAGACCTGTATTGCTACTGCATACTTTCCTTGGTTACTGTCCTTTGATACTGGATTATCAATTAAACATAAACATTCTGTGTTAGTGATTGGATTTGTTTTGGTTGCAAATTTAGTCGTTTGTTCATTTCGACTTGTTTCATTTGCATTAGTGCCACTCGGATTATGGAAATATTCTTGAATGAAACGATTCAAATCCATTCTCATATTAGCTCTATTATTGGCTCTTCTTTCTCTTCTATGAGTTTCAATTCTTGTATCAATTTGTTCATGTTCAGTAAAATCTCTAATTCTAATAAGGAATGCAACAAGTAAACAAACAGCAAATTGAAGTGATTCTGCTGCAACAATTTGAATCCAAAAGTTTTGAGAAATTTCACCAACAAACATGAAAACCATCATCAAGGCAAATATGGCAATATAGGAAGCCAAAAATAGGAAGAGTAAAAATCTTAACTTTTTAAATAACATTAATTTCATAAATGTTGAAGATTTCATAATATCCACTTGAAGAACTAATGGTGCTTCCACTTCCAAATATCTATGATTTAATAATTTAATATTCATTCCTATCGAAGATAATGCATGACCAAATAATATTACATAGAGAATAAATAGTGGAAACTATTTAAGAGCCTTATTACAAACTCTATCAAAAAACACTAATACTTACCATAAAGAAAATATTGAAAATTCTTGCAACTTCGCAAAGTGCTAAACAAGTTAAATTCCATATAATTGATCTCTTTTCTGTATTTTCCAAAGAGTTTCTTGTTATTGCAACTCCCTTCGCCAGTATTAATAAACACCCAAATAATACAAGATTAAATATTACATTAGCAGTGTTAGATAATAAAGTAGGAGTGACAGTACATTGTGATTTTCCGTTATATGCACAATCATAGAATAAATAAATACTACAAGATGTATGAATTATTTTAGCTAATGGTACAAGAACAATATATCGATGAAGAGAAAGGCTATACTTTTTTAAATAGAGAAAATAAACAACATGTATAATCCATAGTAATCCAACAACAGCCCACAACCCTGTAAATACACCATATGCAATTGGTAAATTTTCATAGGCTTTCGGATTGAATTGATCCGAGGTTGTTGTGGTGGTTGACATTTTTTGTAGTTTAAATTGTGTTGATTTGATGATGGATTGGTTCGAATAATATTTTATTTTAAGGTCAACAACTCAATTTCAAAATCTTGAGTTGTGTTGGGGTTGCATTTTAATGCTAAAAACGTTCAAATCTTTCCAATAAGAACATTTGATTCTTAATTCCATTGAGTTCAATTGTATCAATTTGAAATCTCTTTTAACATAAATGAAAACATATAACAAAGAGATATCTTTAGATTGTTTTCCAATTTTGTAAAATATGATTTTTATTTAAACTCGGAATAAATTAATTAAAATTTCTAATCTTCGATTTAAACTCTTCAATGTTATCAAAATTGAGTTTTACCAAATGTCTTTTTGTTAGTGTTTGTTTAGTATAAGGGCATGTATTCTTTGGTTCAGTATTTAATACTTTTAACCATGTTTGATATCCTAAAACATGTCCATATGGAGAAATAGCTGGATCTTTAACTTGTTCTAATGTAATTGGATCAATGAAATCTTCCAAAATATTTCTTGTATGATTTTCATCATCCGAATCTTCATCAGAAGATTGTTCAGAACTTTCACTATCACTCTTTGAATTATTACTTGATGAACCTGTATGAGATGAAACTGATTCACTATCATTTTGATGACTATCTTCATCTTCTTCATCATCTGATGGTTCAACAACTTTCTTTTTCTTAGATTTCCTAGTTGGAGTTGTTGGTTTTTTTCTCTTTTTAGATGTTGATGATGAACTAGATGATTTACTAGCACTACTGGCACTTCCACCTCCGCTCTTATTTTTACATTCTTCAACAATATCCAATTTAAAATCTCCTGATTTTAAAAGAGTTCTATAAAAATTACTACATTGATATCCAACTCTTCCAGGTATTCTCTTTGAAAATAACCCCCATTGAAAATTATCAGTCTTTTCTATATACTCTTTCAATTTCTTAATAAATAACTCTTTCTCTTTTTGATTCCATTTTCCATTCTTTTGAGATTCACCAGGTTCATTAAATCTATAATAATAAGCATTTGGATTGGTATTAATTTTTTCATAAGCTTCAATTCTTGCTTTTGACCATCCATCCTTTTTAATGACATCACTCAAAGCATCGTCAAGAAGTAATCTACTAGAACTAATATTGGTGGAGGTTTTTCTCTTTCTCTTCTTTTTTTCCTCTTGTTTAATTTCTTCATCAATTTCTGAAATTTCTTCATCTTCTTCCTCTTCTTCAATTTCACATTCACTCTGAGATTCTTCTTGTCTTGATTTTTTAGAACTCTTCTTGGAAGATGATTTCTTTGTTTCTTTTTGCTTAGTTTTACTTGTCTTGTTAGAAGATGGCTTTTTTCTTTCCTTAATTACAAAGTCATCATCATCTTTATCATCTTCTTCCTCTTCATCACTCATTTCATCATTATTATTACTATTAGAAATATTATTTGTAACAGGTGTAACAGATCGTTTAGAAGATTCATTTGGTGGAATGAATGAAGTTGAAGTGCTTGGAGTTTCATTTTGATCTGACATTGATGGTGATTCAGGTGAGTTTTGATCTTGTTCATAATTCCATTTATCAGCAAGTGGAACCAAATGATCAACTGTTAAGCTTGGATTTGGATTATATTCTAAAGCAATTTCCTTTCGAATTTGTTGTAAAAAAGTGTAATCTGTCAACTTGATAATTGCTTCTTCCTCGATATTGTTAGTAAGCTTGAGAGCATAAAGTGCCTCTTCATTAGAAACATGTGGAATAACACATCGCAATTGATAAATTTGATGTTTACGATCTCTCTTTTCTAATCTTCTAAATAATTCATGTTGGTCTTTCAATCTCTTAATAACTTGTAATTTTTCTTCTTGTGTCAAGGAAGGATCACAAGATTTTTCAAAATTAATGTTTCTATTTCTTTCAATTTCCTTCTTAGTATACAATCCTTCCCTTTCAATGATGTCCAAAAGTATTTGTTCATCATCCTTATTTTGAATTCTTTTGAAATCTTGTTGTTTTTTAAATCTATCAATTCTGTTTAATAAAATTAAACTTGACATGGGTATCTTATTAGAATGTTCACTTGTTTTTTGATCACAAATGCAACGAGAATCAAAATATTCACAATCATTGTCATCTTTAATAGTTTAGTAAATGTTAAAAATTTTGTAAAAACAAACCCATTGTTATACTTGATGACGGTTGTTCAAAGAAAATGCTCTTCCCAATTTTAATATGATTAGGAACGTTTGAACGTTTAGAAGTAGATTTTTGATTTTGATTACTAGATCGTTTTTGTGATGAAGATTTCTTCTTCAATCTACTCCTTCTATTCTCTTGTTCACTATCCGATCCATCACTATCAATATTGTTTTGTTGTTGTGTTCTTCTCACCACTCTTCTTCGTGGAGAAGTAGCTTCAGAATGAGTAGAAGCCTCCGATTGAACGGAATTACTTCTCTTTCTTGAAGACATTTTTTTGGCGCGTTAATTATTTTCGAATTTGGAATCGGTTAACTTGCCTTTTTGAAAAGATGGACACCTAGTGAAACGAAACCAATAACAATTCAAGTTTTACAATATAATAGTGTACAATTTATGGGCTTAGGTTTTCAATATTATCAAGTACAATGTCTTCAGTGGTCTTGTTTCTCCTGGCTGCAGCTCTTCTTCTTCTTTCATTAGTGGATTGAGAATCCATTGAAATGTTCTTTGGCAATTTTGATTCTTCCTCTTCATCAATCAATACAATACTTCTTGCTTTATGATTACCAACTTCAATAATTGGTGCATTAAATCCGGTACCATTAAGCACAGATTGTGATTCAAATCTTCTTTCAAATAATCCAAGCAAATCCATTACAACACTACTGAGTTTCCAAATTAATAAATCACTTTGATAACCTGGATATTGCCTCTCTCCTCCATTTGTAGATTGAATTGACTCTTTTACAATTGATAACTTCTTCTTGATTGTATGACGAATTCCATGCTTTGCAATTAATGGAATATTTTCTTTGAGTAAACACAAATTGTACATAACTTGCATAGCCATCTTTGGAACGTTATGTTGTTCATCTAATCTGTGGTGAGTATCAATCATGGCATTAATTTCATCAAAGATTCCATTTTCTCTAGCTATCATAAATCTATTCTTTGGATTGGCAGACAAATAAACCAAAGCTTGTATAATGTGATGCTTAATCTTTAAACTCTTTCCCGATGACCTTAATGATTGAACAATACCATATAAAATTGTATCAGTTCCACACACAAGAGTTTGATTTTGGAATGTAACGGACATATAATCCAATACTCTTGCTGCTAATTCTACAGTCTCTCTATCAGAAGAGCACAACATCTTGGCCAAACCAGGAAGACAATTTTCTTCATTAGCAATAAAGGCATCAATAATCGGATCTTCAAGAAGTAAATTACCCAAGATTGCTAGAGCATGTTGTTGACATCTTTTATGAGCATCATTTTCTTGTTCTATAACCAATATTGCTGAAATGGCCTCAATAAAATTATTAATCATGGCCATGGATTTTCTCAAAATCTTTTCATCACTAATTTTTCTTAACATACATGATGCATGGATTTTATCCTTAGACTTTCCGTAAAGTAAGGTTTGTATATAATCAGGTACTTTTTCCAACGTTAATTCTGCTTCCGATTTATTTGCAAGCTCTGGATTTGGATTAATAATTGGCTTAGTTTCATACTTGAAGGTTAACTCTGATAACTTTGCACGAGCAGGGCTATCAAAGGTTCTTGCTGGTGAAGACATTTTTTTAAGGCTAAAATAACGAACGTTACACTCAATATTTATGAAATTTAACTTTTTGAACGTTACCGTATTGACGAATTTCATCATCAAGATTTTCAAGCACTCATTAACAATTGAATTCGATGGTAGTGAAATTGTTTCAAATGATAATAAGGATTTACTACTGCACTGTAATTGTTTCATAAATAGACAAATGACAAGTATAAAAAAATGATTATAAGTGATTATCATCTCCGATTGTTTCAACTATTAGTTGCAGTGATATTTGTTTGTGCAGGGTTTATTCAATTAATAGAAGATGTTATGTTTACTATAGATGCAAGGGTTTTATTTCCTCTATTTCAAACCTATCATTGGGTTTCTGTAATTTTGGATTATTGTTTTTCAGTGACAACAATTTGTTCTGGATTGATTGGAATAATATCTGTTTTAATTCCTGATGTGACGCTGCCAAAAACTAAATTATTTACATTCATTGTGTGGGTGATTTCGTTATTTGTTTCTTTTGGATTAGCATTAGCAAATGCAGGAATTGTTATTTATTTAATTGTATTGGTTTACGATCCAAATAGTACTGAAGTACAATCATTTCACTTTAGTTTCATATTTTCACTTGTTTATCAGGGATTATTTTCAATTTTATGTGTTGTTGTATTGATAATTGTTGTCTTTTTGGAAATACCACTTGTTTGGTCCACATACAGGAGAAATCAAAAGACTGATTATCAATCTCCAAATGATGATTTAATGAATCAAGGTCATCAATTAATGAGTGATGATGAAGACAATTAGATGATCAATTTTAATGATGATCAATTAATGAAAATAAATTAAAATTTATAATTTTGAAATATGCTGATCAGAGAGTTATAAGAGACGGGATTCAGCAAACTTCCAGTTGACAACATTCCAGAAATGTTCCATATAATTAACCTTATTGTTTCTATAATCAATGTAGAAAGCATGTTCCCAGACATCACAAGTCAAGACTGGAACAACACCATCAGTCAATGGACAACCACCATCATGAGTAGAAACAACAGACAAAGTGTTATTATCCTTTTGTCTAACCAACCAGACCCATCCGGAACCGAAGTGATTAACAGCTTGAGTATTGAATTCAGCCTTGAATTTATCGAATGATCCGAAGCTCTTTTCAATGGCTTCACCAATTTTACCAGTTGGAACGCCACCAGCATTTGGTCCGATAGATTGCCAATAGAAATTGTGGTTGTAGACTTGAGCAGACAAATTGAAGGCCTTTCCCTTGTAATTCAACAAGATTTCTTCAATGGTCTTACCACTCAATTCGGTTTCAGTTTGAGCAAGTTCGTTCAACTTGACAGCATAACCCTTGTGGTGCTTTTCGTAGTGGAATTCGAGGGTTTCTTGGGAGATGTGTGGAGCAAGAGCATCCTTGGCGTATGGCAATGGAATAACTTGATCAAGGAAAGACATTTTGTTGTATTGTGATTATGTGTTTTTTTTTGATTAAATTCCGTTGTCCATCATTAAGCCACTTTTAAAGCGCTGGAAATGCTCGCTCAAAACAACGACAAAATTGCTTCTGCAGAAGAGTGCGGATTTTCAATAATGAGGTACGCACTCAATTGTTGTCTCTGAGGATCAACCTGTACTGAAGAATCATTACTTTTAATATTTAAAACGTTGTAAACTTTGTATCTTATCCCATTAAACATTCTAAAAATCAACTGATATTTTTATTTAGAAAACCATATATTCAAATTGGTCATGATATTTGGACATACATTGTAAAGTATTTTGTAAGTTTATTCAATATTTCTATTCAATGTAATCATAAATAATTAGATGTGAAATAGACATTCGTTTTTCGTTAACAGAATCCAGGTAATTATAATTAATCATGTACTTATTGAACTGTTCCTTCATAATTATGTTCACTTCATCAGTTTCCTCTTCATCCTCACTGGCATTGTCCTCATTTCCTGCTTCGTGACTCGAATCAATTGGTTTTTGCAAGCTCAGTTCCTTCCTACTGCTTCTATAGAGTTTGAAAAGATATTTGTGATTTTCAGATACATCTTCCGCAGATCTGTTGGTTATTAAACTTCTAACATTTGGATCTGCATTAAACATAATCAACAGATTTGATTTTCCGTGAATTCCCTTAGTTTCTCTCTCGCAACAAAAATGCAGTGGTGTAAATCCTTCTGGGTTATCTGCTCTCCTATTAATATCTTGTTTCCCAATGGTAATGAGTAATTTAACAACAGATTCATTTCCCAAAGCATGATGAATAGGGAAGAAACCATTCTTATCACTAACATTTGGATTTGCATGATTTTTCAATAGCCATTCTACTAACTCTGCATTTCCCTTTCTAGAGCTTAGCATTAGGGGCGTTTGCTGCATTGTTCCTCCCACTGAGTCTATTAATTCACCCTTTTTCAGTAACATTTTAATAATCTTCTTCTCTTGAACCATATGAATAGGCTTCCATAGAAGAATATCCGATAGAGTTGGATCTGCATCGAAATCTAACAATAACTTAATCATTTCCAACATGCTTTTTGATTTGTTTTCATCAAGTGTTGCTTCAAAGTTTCTTGTTAATAGGAAAAGTGGAGTTTCTTGTCTGGATTTTCTTGTTTTTTGGTTTGGATCAAAACCATATCTTAACATTATATTTACAAAATCAATACTTCCATTCATACAAGCAATATGTAATAGAGGAAAATCTTCTAAATTTCCAACTGTAGAGGATGCTCGCTTTAGAGTTTCTAACTGATTCGAATTTAATAATAACCTCTTCAATATTTCAATGTCATTGTTATTCAAACAATCAATAAATAATTGGGTTAAATCATTGTCCGAATATATTGTACGAAGGGAATGTATTTCAATTTGATAGTGGTGGTGAGTAATATTGAGTGTTGTCATCAGGTTTGTTCTCTAACGTTTTTTTTCTTTCTAAAATTGTTCTATTTTTGGGTCAGGGAATTTGACCTTAATGAACCATACAACAATTAAGAAGTGATGTTGAGCAATTCAAATGATTCGATGAATACATGCTTGATTTTGACAAAATTGTTATTTCTGAGAATAAATGTAATTGACTGGATTTATTTGTTATTTGATCCAGGTTTAGAGTTTTTCAATTTATGAAGAATTTCCATTATTTACTTCTTCCATTCTTGCTCTTTGCCTTCTTACTATGACATTGAAATTATGATACAGTGCATATTTTGCATGTTACGATAGAGGAAAGTGTATTATTTAGTTACAAACACTTTTGTGAATCTCAAAAGTAAAGATAATTGAACCTTAAGAAGTTAAATGTTAATATTAATATTCAATGCCTTTAATGTGTAATAAAATCAATTGGTTTGACAAGTGGCCATAGTTTCAATGGTAGAAGAATGTTGCTACTTCTTTTCAGTAATAAATATATAATTCTACTTCTTTTCAGTAATACATTATGTATGACCAGTTGTTATAATAATAAATCTGTATCTATTCTCAAGTAATACAACATGATAATTGTGTGATGGTAATATAGAATCTGTTCCTTTCTAATTAAAACTTCTTTTCGAAGGCTATTCTTTTCATATCAGCTTGAACTTGATTTTGTTTGTTATTATTAGTTAATCCAAATGATTGAATACTGAGGAGAGGAACTGACCAATCCAAGTTTAAGAATACTTTGGTATTAACACCCATTCTATTATTCTCAATACTTGGTGTGGATGAAATTTCCATGTTCAATGATGGTGCAATAGAAGTAATAACAGTCTTTAAAACAAAGAATAATAATTTTGCTGATTTAAATGTTCCATTTCCGATCAATCCAAATATTAATTTAATCATTCCAAATAAGAGGTTGGAATCTTTTTGATGAAGAGTTGTTGATTGTTTATTGTTAGACATTTTTTCTTCTTTTTAATTATTTTAATTATTTTAATTATCAAATTATTTTCAGTTCAGCTAATTGGCTTGGATCCATTCCAATCGTTTCAGGCCAATAAATAATATATACATCATTCCTGAGATGGTAGATTCCAATTCGAAAATGCTCATCTATCTTTCAATTTTCTCACATTTGTTCAGCTAATTGCTTCCCAATATTGCTTTTACACCGTTTGTTCTGGCTCTTCATTGACATTATGAGAATTGAGAGTTGGGGTATATTGTATAACAACTTCATCTATTCCTGATGATGGTAGTGTTGGCAAAGAATTTGGTGACTCAGTCAAATGAGAAACAACTACTCCTGTAAATCCATCATTATTCTCCAAATTGTTAAATGTGTTAGTGACATAGTATAGACCTGTTTGCTGAGATTTTCCTTCTTGCTCTTTCATTGGTGTAACCATTGTAGGAGAATTTCGTGTATTGCTAATATTTGTCATGTGACTGTGTGCAATTTCTTGATCTAAAACACTCGATCTTCTTCTACAACATCTTTGGAAAAGAATTATAATGAGGGAAAGTAACATTACTAGAGTAAATCCTATCAATAAAGGAATTATAATGGAATAGAAGAATAAATTATCTGCTTGTTGCTGTCCATATTCACAATTAGAGTATTTCAAATTGGTTACATTAAAAGCTCCTACAAATAATGATCCAGTCGTGACATTAGTTGCATTGAATTCCAAAATATTATAAGTTGTTCCACTAACACTTTGAGAATATGAATAATAATCTCTGTTGGCCTGGATTGATTTTTGGTTAAAAACTCCATTCTCATAGAAAAACTTGAATGAAATATTAGAAACTGGAATGGTGAATGAATTGTGCCATCTCAATTGAGATATGAAATCCTCTGTTTTCATTGGACCTTTCAATAAATTATACCCATATATTAATGTTACCTTATCATAGTTCAATAGTTCTCTTCCATCAACAAAATAAACTCTGAAAATTATTGTCTTTCCATCAGCAGATACTAGAATGGACGGTGAAGATAAACTAACTTGAGGAGAGTCAACAAAAATATCAGAATTCTTGTCTATTACTAAATTTCCGGATGGCATTCCAACAGGTGATGGTAATTGTCTTGAAATTACTGAAAAAGGAGAACTACAAATTGTATGATGATCCTTAATATATTTACAAATTCCAATAAAATACACTACCTAAATGAAAATGTAAACTTTTCCAATACATATATTGAACAATCCTGTTCTCCTGATAATGTCAAAATAGTTGACACTGAATGAAGCGAATATTGTCCATTGACACAAATTGGTGATAATACAGTTAGGATGACCATACAAACTACCATCATCATACAATACAAATTTTTTGAATGATTACGATGATGATTATTATTAACTGATAATGACGAAGATGATGATTCTATCAGCAGCAGCTCTGAGATATTCCTTTTTGTATGCCAGCTTTTTGCTCTATCCGATAATAATTTGCTTTGACTTCTATTGCAGTTATGAAAGTTAATTTCAATGCTTGAGCCACAATAACCATGATGATGATTGATTGGTATCATTTTTTAATTGGTTTTTAATTGGTGTTCATCTCTTTGAACTGTCTTGTTTGACTACTGATTTTGATTGGGATGTGACAGCAATTTTACATTGATTTCTAAGGGAAGTAATATTGGGATGTGATGCCTTATTCTAGTGCTTAGTGGTCTTGTCCTTTATGATTTAATAAAACAACCCTTATAGAATTGGGTTATAATGAGAAATGATAAACTTCTCTCCTGAAATCCAATCTTTTCACATTGTCAAATTTACAAAACGCTGGCAATTTAAAATTATAAAATCCTGTTTCAATTATTCCTCCTGCATAGTCACTTCTCCATGGGTTAGCAAGCTCTGAAATTATTATACAATTATCGTTGAGAATAATCTTTGGATTAAATCTATTATTGATATGATCGTATGGACGAGGTTTAGAATTTCCAACTCCTGACCTATCTGTCAAACATGAGAAGAAGCATCCAATCAAAACTCTGTAAATTCCAATTTCTTTACAATCATGAAAAGCATTTGGAATTCCCTTACTGTAAATTCTTCTTTTAAGGGATTCTGGTGTGTAGAATTTGTAAATACTATCAATTGTTTTCAATTGTCTGTCAGTATAGTGATGGTAGGTCATGTCTAGCATGAAACATGAATCAGTTCCATCAATTTTTCCTATTAGAAAGAAATTTGATAGATTCGTTTTTGATTTGTTGTCTGTTGTGTCAAATGTTTTGAGTTTGATATAAACTTGTTTCTTTTCATGATCTACATCAAGAATTTCGACTAATCTCGAAAGTATTTCATTTTCCAACATTAAATTTTCACTACTGAGATTGGAAATATTTAAATAATTTACAATTTCTATAATTGAATCAAATTTCAAATCAAGATTGATGTGAAAAACATTAACATCTTTTCTCTTTACATTGATAATAGAATTGAAGAAATCTTTTTGCAACTTTTCATTTGTAATATCAATTCTATTCGAATCCTTTTTGTTTTCATTGTGATCCAAATCACATTTAAATCGAATAATAATCTTTGATCTCTTAATATTCACCAAATAGGCATCATCAGAATAGGTACCGGTATGCAAATTTCCATTTAAAACTTGCTCTTCCATTTCAGATACTTTCTCTAAATTCGATTGATCCAGTATCGGTTCATAATTCCACTTATTATTCATCAATTCCTCCAAAAATTGCTGTTCAAAATCTTCTCTCTTCCTCCTATTATGATAATTAATTCTAGTCTTAACAATAATACCAAAACTTTGTAAAATTTCAATTAGTGATATATTCAAATTTTTCTGATTAATTTTGTGATTGGGAAATTTTCTGGATGAAAGTGAAATTTTTGGAATTTTGTGATGTGTTGTTGGTGTGAATTGTATTGACATTTTTTTTGAATATTTCTTCATTTTCAATTTGGAGATTTACAATAATTGTTTGTTGATTGAAAAGCGGCTGATTTTTCAAGTACTTGACCCATCATTGGAATCTCATTGGCCAAGTGTTATCCCTCACTCAATACAATTTTCACATCACATTGTAGCCACCACCTCAGGTTAGAAGGTTACAATGCGAGGGGAGTATAACTTCAAGGCAACACTCATTTCCATTTATAAAAAATCAACGCTCACAATTATCCATTCAACAAACTTTAAAAAAAATGATCAAACAATCGCTCATTGCTCTTGCTGCTACTATCTTTGCTGTCATCTTGATGATGAATGTTGTCAAGGCTGAACAAATGGCCGCTCAAGAAAGTGCTGCTTCTGCACCAAATTTTGCTGAAATTTGTAGTTTGCCAAATAATAATTGGGCTCCAATAATGGGTGTTCCTTGTAATCCAAATAATTTTACCTTGTTAGTTTCACCAACTACAAGAGTACAAATTACTGGTTCTAATTTCATTGCTAATTGTGGTATTCAATATACTCCTGTTTATACTTTTGATATGAATGCTGGATATGTTGAAACTTCTCAATTGTGTAATATCAAATCTGTTTTCAGAGGAGGTGATAGAGTTTCAGTTTGTAAGACTTCAAATTCTTTGGCCATGTATCCAACTCCAATTCTTTCTGGAAAGGCTTCTTATAATTTTGTTCCAGGTCAATATGGTTTGGTTTTATCTGATCCAGTTTTCACTGGACAACGTATTTATGTTTCAAAGGTTTTAGTTGGATCTGCAATTGGTTGGGTTCAATCTGATTACATTTGTTTGGCTTAATTTTATTTAATATTAAAAATAAATATTATTTACAATTTAATTGGAATTGTCTTTTTAAAGTAATCATTGGAAAAAATTAACAATGTTAAATGGTATTGAACTAATGTGATAAATTTCTTTGAAAATTCCTCAATTTATTCCAAGGCCGAATTTGAGTAATGTAAACTTGATGTTAATTTAAATTCATTGAATTAATGGAATTGTGTTCAAAATTGAAAATATTTTTTATTATAAAAAAATGATGAACCAACAAACAAGTCACCAACATGCAGAAAATGCTTCGGAAGAAATAATTGAATCATTTTCACCCTATTCTTGTGTTTATTGTAGAAAGGCACATCGTAAATGGTTAGTTTCAAAGTTATTAATCATGATTAATTTTATATTTATCTATATTATTAGTGGTAAGTATTCTATTAATATTTAAATTAATATTATTAATATTTAATACATCATTCCATAAAGATAGAAAATTGCCATCATGTTCTAAATGTAAAAGTAGAAATTCGCCATGTGAATATGTTGATTTAAAAAGAAGGAAGAATATTCAAATTGGATCATCATCTGTTCAGGAATGTTTGGATTTACAAAATAATTTAAAACAATTGAATTTAATGGATGGAAATGATTTTGTACAAAATGATTTATTTGCATCTTTGAGAATGAATATAATTGGAGCTTATTTTGAAATAATTTGTTTGGGATGTCCTTTTTTGGAAAAAGAAACACTTGAAAGTTATTTATATTCAAAGGAAATTTTACAATCTAATAGATTAATACTTGCATTGGTATTTTCAATTCAAACTCTTGTTGGTAAGTTAATTTTTTAAATTTACTATAAAAGGAAAGAGCAAAGATTTGGATTTGTAGATTTGGCATTTGAAAGTTATAAGAAAACTCTTTCAATTTTACCAAATGATAAAGCAGATCAATTTTATGCAGCATGTGTTTATGTAAATTTAGGAATTTACTTAATTGGAGAAGGTAAAAAGAAGGAAGCTAATTTTTATGCACATTGCTCTGATTACTATTTTAAACAATTAGATTCTAATTATCAACATAATGAATTTGATAGAAATTTAATTTGGTTTAAAATGACACTGGAATACATGTCTAGTCCATTATATCCATTAATGGCATCTCAAGAATTGATTGATAATTACAAAATTATATTGAAACATAACATGCCAATGGAATGGCAAGAAGTAGTGATGGATTTGAAAAATTCAACAATATCTAATGTTGAAAGCAGAATCAAAGTGTATCAATTAATTGCATTCACTTTACAGGGAGAGAGAAGAGTTGGAGGTTATGGAGTTTCATTATGTGAAATTATTTATTTATCAATGCATTCATGTATTTCAATTTCTTTCTATTCATTGGTAGATCCAATTTATTTTAAAGATCAAATTTATGCTGAAACTGTTAAAGCAGCAGAATTGACAGAATATGAACTATTTTCCTATTCTGCCCCTCAAGTAATTATGAATATTCTAGTTGCTATTAAGGTACATTTAGAAATGCAACAATTAGTGGAGAGTGGACAAATTACAGGAGTCTCCTTACAAGATTATTACAAAATTATTGCAAAGAATTATAGAGCTGTAAATATTTTGAGAAAAAAGTATAGAGTGATAGATGCACAACATTCAGATATTGTTACAAAACTTGAGGAACTAAATAAGGAGGTAGATAAGGAACCTTCGCCTCAGCAATACAATATTGATGATAAGATGAAGAGATTGGAGGATTTTGAAAGTCAACTCAGTTCTGTCATGAAAAAATTTGTTAGTATGCTTCCATTTAAAGAAAAAGAAAACCAGCCACAAATGGAAGAACTCAATGGATTGGAATTCTATACAGACATGTTTTTATTGGATGATACAGATGATTTATTCTTAGAATTTTAATAGGGTAAATTATTTGACCATCTTTTTTGGTGCATCAAAATAACCACATGTTTGAAAGATGGTTTCACACATTTTAACTACTGCCTTCCGTTTTGATTCTTTCTTCCCTTTGTGTGGATCTCCTTGCACAGTACCAATTGGTTCAACAGTGCATGATGTAACATATCCTAACTTTGGTACCACTTGCTCTGAAAAAGTTGGGTGAGTCCTATAATTTATATTACAATGGTGTAATAAGGCGTTCATTATTGCATTATTTGAGATTGTTGACATAAATACATCCTTATCAGTTATTCTTATAGTGCTGCCTTTGTATTTGCTTTGAAGTTCTCTAGTAGTGATATTTGTATTGATCTCTTTTTCAAGAGTTTGATTGATTTTCTCATCCACAATAATTGTATGTTTGTATCGTTCCTTATAAATTTCGGTCCAAGAACTTGTAGGGAAGATTGCTAAATCTCTATCAAGAAATTTCCTCAGCACTTCTAGTGATGCTGCATTCTTGGCATCTTGTTTTGATTTGAACATTGAAGATGAGGTCAAAACAAAGTAACTGGCTGCTTGCAAACCAAATTCTACCATTGAACGATCATAATTGTTCAGTTTGATTAGAATACGAACAAAGAATAGATGTCCAACCTTGACTACCTGAAATATTGGTTTTACACCAAATAATTTTTCACATGTCAACGTTAAGACAGTAGATTGAGTATTAGTGTTTTCTGTAAATTCGAACAGTTTCAATATAGTTTCCTCAACTTTGTAAATTGGTTCGCTATTCCATATGTATTCGAAAATATGACTAATTACCATCTGTTTTAGCCCAATATTTTGTAAATGTAATTTTCTATAATAAACATCAGGATGTATCTTTTCAGATTTGGTAAGAAGTCCAATAGAAATTATCATTTTCTGTTCTTGAGTTTGATATTTTCCATATGAAGAGCTTGCTTCCACAGAATTAGAATGATGAATGCAATAAAATTCGGAATTTGCTGATCTAGCTCTTCCTCTTGATTGAATCATTGTTTTTGTTGTTTCAATTCCATCCAATCTAATAACAAGTGAACAAGCAGGAACATCTAAACCTTCTTCTGCTACACTTGTTGAAATAAGAGTATTTACAATTCCCTGTCTGAAATTATCTAGAATAGTATTTTGTTGATTTGATGTCATTCCACTCTTTCCAAGTAGAATATCAACTTTTAAATAATCTTTTAGGTCTGGTTCTGATTGTAAAAATTCTAAAGTCTCCTTACAACCAATTCTAGTTTTTACAAATATTAAAGCTCGTAATTCTTTTCCAGTTTCTTTGTATTGTTTCAATAACTTAGCCAACGCGAATCTCTTTGCACAATGAATTGGTAGAGAGCCTAAAGATAATTCATGTTCATAGCACATATGTGAAATTCCACAAAATTTTAAAGTTTTTAAAATCTCAATCTCCGTAAATGATTTTAAAAATTTTAACAAGTGATCCCAACTATTTTGTGTTAATTCAATAATTTTAATTCTACATACGCTGCAGTACATGATCTATGGTCATTGATCATTAAAGATTCATTAAGGACTGATAGAGTTTTACATGTTAAAATCAAATTTGAATTCTGCTTGTTAGATTTTGAATATCTAATAAAATCATCCAAATTTCTATTATCATCTTCCTTGTCATAAGTTCCTGTAACGTGATTCATTTTCAAATCAAGCCATTCATCAGCTTCATCTGTTCCAAATTTGGAATCATCCATATCTACATCAGCATCTGATGAAAAATTTTCCAATAATTTAATTTTAACTCCTCTAATAGCATTGAAAATGAAATCTCTCAATCTCAAAGAGAATGGATCCATATCTACTGAAATAGATTTCATTGAAGGTGTGAATACAAATGTACCAAGCTCTTCTTCATTATTCTCAACTTGTCTCACTGTACAATCCAAATCATGTCCCAGTTGGAGTATCTTTAATAATGTCTCTGCAATGGTGTTTTTGGCAGCTGGTGTAGCACTCAAACCAAGTATTCTAGGTATTAATAGACCTGCATGCTTTCTTGGTTTATAATAATCTCTCATTAATACTTTAAATGGATGATTTGAATGAGTATGATGGCATTCATCAAATATTAACAATTGCAAATCATCAAAAATGTCAGAATATTGTAAAACATTCAAAATGATTTGGATTGTACAGACAAGTACAGTAAAATCCTTTGTTTCTAATTTCCAATTCTTGATTGATTTCTTTTCTCCATGAAAAGCTCCAACTTTTTCAATTCCAAACTCTCTCAATGCCCTCGCCTGCTGTTCAACAAGTGAAATTTGATTCACAATAAACAAAACCTTCTTGAATGGATTTAAATTCAACATGTGATGAATTAAAAGTGCAGCAATAAATGTTTTACCAGCACCTGTCGGAGCAACAATGATTGTATTTTCATCTTTACAATGTTCTACCAATTCCTTTTGATATTCTCTTGCATTGGAGAGTAGTGTACTAGTTGCTGTAGAATTAGAAACAACACTTTCCGAACATGATCCTACCAATATATTATCGTTGTATGATGTTGTAGATGATTCATCAAATTGATGTTCGTTATCATCACCATCACCATGATGAATAGTGGAATTAAAATTGGTTGTTGTATTTAGTGTCGGAACATGTAATATTCTTCTTCCCTCATTATCAAACTCTTCTTCGAGTTTTAATTTTTCAAATGTTGTTTCCTCTTCTTGTTTAATTGATGAAGATGATGTAATTGGCCATGCAAATCCTGAGCATTTGATGTTATTGAACATGGTGATGCAAGATTAGTAGTACATTTTTTATTTTTTTTTTAGAAATTTAATTTATTACAATTTAATTGTCAGTCAGACTCGTGATTGAATAAATTGCTGTAGATTGCTATCTACAGAATGCTTACATATTTGTTAAGGTCTTTGCTCCATTCATAGTTTTCGTGAAGCCAGTCGTTCCTTTCTTTCCAGATGCTAGTATTAGCTCTTGTGGTTTCTTTGATTATGATTTTGTGACATTCATTGCCGATGAAGTCTAGTTTTTGTCCAGTGTTGTAGAGTAGAGATTAGTAGTACATTTTTTTAATTTAGTTTTATGAAATGAAGAATATTTCATTTAATTGTAATGAAAACAAGTTTCAAAAAATGTCAATCATGATGCTATCCGATGATTTATGTTATGAAATTGTTGGATATTTAGATTCATGTACAATTTTAAATACTTGTTCTCTGCTTTCCAAACAATGGTTGGAGGTTATTAGAACTAGATCACATATTTCGGTTGAGTTGGATGGAAATATTTGTGATGAGAGAATAACTTCAATGATGAAGAGTCAATTTTTGGATAGTATTCAAAGTGTGAAAGTAAAAAGTGGTAATAATAGTGGGTCAATTGGTTATTTATTGAATTCTCTGTGTTTAATGAGGAATTTACAAGAGTTGTATCTTGTTTCTAAAGAATTGGATTCGAATGATGCACAAGTAATAAGTGAAATGAAGAGTTTGACGAAACTTGATCTGAATGGAAATAGAATTAGTGATGAGGGTGTTGATTTCATAAGTAAAATGAGCGGTTTGACCTATCTTAGGATAGATTCAAATGCTGTTCATGATGAAGGAGCAAAATCAATTCAAGGAATGAAAGGATTAAGAACTTTAAAAGTTTCTAATAATTCTTTTTTTGAAGTTGGATTTGAGGCAATAAGCCAAATGGGAAATTTAACAAAACTTGATATGAGTGAAAACTCATTGGGAATTGAGGGAACTAAATCGATAGGTATAATGAAAAATTTAACATCCCTCAAGATTGACTATAATCATATTGGTTCAGAAGGAGTTAAATATCTCAATGAAATGAAACAATTAACAAAGCTTTCAATTGTGGAAAATCAAATAGATGAAGAAGGAGCCAAGTACATTGGAGAGTTGAAACAATTGACAATACTTGACATTAGTTTCAATTATGTTGGGGAGAAAGGAGCCAAATCAATTAGTACATTGAACAAGCTAACAATGCTTGATATTATTGAAAATAATATTGGTGAAAATGGAGCAATTTCATTAAGTAATCTTAATCAATTAACCAAACTAGATATTAACTCTAATAATATTGGACATTTAGGAGCCAAATCACTTGTGAAATTGAATCAATTGAAAGAACTCAATATCAGCTATAATAATATTAATGACTTAGAAATTAACATAATAAGACAAATGAAAAACTTGAAGAGCTTAACAAATCATTCTCAAAATCGATAGAAGAACGTATTGCATAAGTTTCAACCCAAATAAGAAAATTACAATTAATGATTTACCATCCCACACATAAAAACAAAAAAGTTATACCCTGTGGGACTCGAACCCACAACCCCCGGCTCCGTAGGCCGATGCTCTTCCAATTGAGCCAAGGGTACTTATGTTCGAAGTAATTTGTATATTTCTTGTATATTATTTTTACCCATTTTGTGCGCTCTTGCTGTCCGTTTCTTGAACTATTTCCTATGATTAATTCAACATTAGTTTATAATTCATTAATTGGAGGTGGTCGTCCTTTCCATTTGGATGGTAAGGAAGGAGGGATGACACTTTTTTCTTTTCATTTGTAACAAATAATGGCTCCTCCAATAACATGATAGCATGTTTAGATTTTGTATCATTTAAATGTTGCAAATAATTAGTAGAATTATATCCGAATATTCTTCTGATTTTTCCAATATTCATCACACTCAAAATATCCAACACTAGTTTCCATCTGTTTTTTGAATCCAAATTATTGGCAATCTTTGCTAACAACACCTTGTTTAAAAACAAAGTGCTTGCCAATAAAATCTGATAGAGAATTACGCCAGAAATAATCATTCAATAAAATTCAATCACAGTATGTAATCATTCGAATTAAAAGATTAGAAGCCTCTTCTGCAGCTTGTTGCAAACTTTAAAGTACAAGTGTGGAATATTTTTTAAATTGATTTTGGCGGTTTTTTGTCGTTTTTTAGTCTCTTTAGTTCGTCTCTGCATGTCCTTAATTATTATCTACGGTACGTTAAAACCAACATTTTTTAAAAAAGAAAACGAACAATCATCATCACCCTTTAATTTTCATTCCTTAATTTTATGACCGACGATATGAACCTTTCCTCGGGAGGAACCAACTCTCATTTAGATCATTCTGTAGTAAACGCTATGGATATTTCAAGGAACAGTGAGAGTGAGGGAGAACTTAGTAATGAGAGTGTAGATATGATTATGAATAATGCTACTGGAGACCCAACAATAGATATGTGCGATGAAGGACACAGTGATGATGAGTTTGGAGAACAAGGACAACATTTTGACCAAGCACAATTCGAACGAATGTTGAGCCAAAGACACTATAAGGTTGTTAGAGAACGAGGCGAAGGAACTTTTTCTAAAGTACTTGAAGCAAAAAATCTCAAGACCAATCAGCGAGTGGCTATTAAGTGTATGAAAAGCAAATTTAAGGATAGAGACAGAGTCAATAGGTTAAGGGAAATTCAAGCACTGAAGATTCTATCACCTCACGATAATGTCATTTCTCTATTAGAAGTTGTTTATGATCCAAAGAATGGTAATCTTGCTCTTGTGTTTGAATTGATGGACATGAATATTTATGAACTTATCAAAAGAAGAAAAAAGTACTTTCCAGAACATCAATTGAAATCATATATGTATCAAGTTTTAAAGTCAATTGATCATATGCATAGACATAACATTTTCCATCGAGATGTCAAGGTAAGTTGGATTTGAATTGACTTGTTATTTACATTCTCAGCCTGAGAATATTCTTGTAATGAAAATCACAACACCTCCCTCAATACCAACATCGAGCAGTATGACTCAACCAAACCAAATACTATCAACAAACTTTCTTTACTATTATTATCTCAACGGTACTGCACCAACAAGTGCTTCCCCTTCATCTAGTAGATCTGAAACACCAACAGATTCATTCAGTTATCCGACTCTTAAATTGGCTGACTTTGGAAGTTGTCAAGGAACAAAAGGAAAGAGACCTTATACTGAATACATTTCTACGAGATGGTACAGAGCACCAGAGTGCCTGTTAACAGATGGTTTTTATGATCAAAAAATGGACATGTGGAGTATTGGATGTGTGTTTTATGAGCTAATTACTTTCGAACCATTATTCCCAGGAGAAAACGAATTGGATCAAATCCATCTTATTCACAAAGTTGTTGGAACACCAAGTGAAGACATTTTGAACAAATTCAGAAAACATGCAAGTAGATATTTGAGTAATGGTAAATTCCCAAAGCGAGCAGGAAAGGGTTTAAAAGCCATGATACCTAATGTTTCGAAAGATTGTCTAGATTTATTACAAAAACTTTTAATTTACAACCCTGAAGAAAGAATTACTGCCAGTAAGGCTCTAAGACACCCTTATTTTAAAGAATTGTATGCTCTTGACCAAAGCTTTGGAGGAGGCCAGTCAATACCTAGTCCATCTCCTCTCATGAACAACATTTCAACCAACGCTACTAATAGCCCCTCTAGCACACAAGGCCCAGGGCTCCAACAAGCACCTTTAATTCACCACAATATTCAAAATCAAGCCCAGAATCATAACAATAATTCAAATATGGTTGTTTTACCAACAATATATGGTACCAAGCAAAAACCAACGAATAAGAAACCGGTTCAAAACCAACAAGGAATAACTTCATATGGAAAAAATATGAGCAATAGTAACCTTAATACCTCAAATCAAAGCAATGCAAGCGGTACAGGAGGTTCACTGAATCAATTTTTCTCTTCTATGAAGAGGAATACCAATATGAAAACTGTAAACCTCTCTCCCTACATGAATGATCATCCTCCAGTTTCTAGCTCAATGACCTACCAAACCACAACAACCTACAATAACTTCCAATCAAACAAAGCTCCTCCAATCTTCCAAAACAATGTACATGCGTCTCTTTCCAACTCCAATAAGAATGAACCTATAGAAAAACAGCAGAAAAAGTATTCACTTCATTACATGATATAAAGTTGTAAATTTATATAATCTCACAATATTTAAGCTCCCTAAAATTTGCACAACTAGATCAAAAACTTTGAAAAATTAATTATTAAATAATTTTTTAATTTTAAATTTTAAAATAATTTTTTTACAATAAATTTACAATTATTCCTTCTTTTGTTGATTTTCGAAAAGAATACCAGCTTGATATTTCCTGCCCAATTGATATAAACCAGTACATCCAACGAAGAAGTTGACAGCAAACAAACCCCAGTTCTTTGGAATAATTTGAGTACTATATCTACTCCAAATAAATCCAGTAACAGTAAGAGCTACATTTTGGTTAGTGGAAACCAATTCAGGTGGCTTTGATAAATCGGAAATACCAGCGATCACAAGACCCCACTTGAAAACCTGTTAACAATTAAAATTGAATTAAATTTTTTAAAGAATATTTTCTCAACATACTGGTGCCCAAAAGTGAACTGTAAAATGATTAAATAACAAAGATCACACAATGATGATGTATTAAATATTTACCTGTTCTAATACCAGCTTCTCCGTACCAAAGGTAATGACGGAAGTTGGCAAACTTTTGTCCGAATGAAGCCATTTTTTTATTGTTGATGTATTGATGAGAGGCCGCCTCTATGTAAAATGGCGAATATTGCAGAATGAAAAGCAAGTGACGAGATAAAGCGAAAAATTGATTCTTCTATGTGAACACCTCCATAGAATGGATCAAACATTTGAATTGCAACATTGATTTTGATCCTTGACTTTCTGCTTCAATGGTTTAGTTAAAATTTGAAGGAAACAATGTACTGTTAGTGCTTTTCAAATATAGACTGTTGTTTAAAGTTTGTTTGTTGGCATACAAATTGTCAAGTGATAAAGATTTATGATTTGAAACATCTCAATTATTATATCTATCATTATAAATTCGGTCAAGACACCTCTATCACAAAAGATGACAGAGAAATTGTTTCACGTTTTGGATGTCATTGTATATTTGAAAAGTTCTCTATTCTCTTAGTTTCGACCAAATTGAAGCACTTAGAGATTGCACACAATACCACCAATACACGCATCTCGTTACCACTATTGGAGGATCAACAAAGAGCACGTTGGCCATTTCCCTGACCAGTGTTGCTCTTTGAGTCTGCAAGCTTCTCTTGTTGCTTGTTCAACAAGAAAAATTAAAACACTAACTGTTGTAAAGATATTCAGGCGCCATTTTCGAAAAAAATATTAGAGATCCAATTATTAGAGAGTGAAGTCATCAGCGCGTCGTTAAAATTCCACCACAATTCCCTCTTGCCCTTCACCACCATCCACTTCCTTTATTTCTTTTCGTGAATAACACACTACTTCCTGCCGCGGCTAATTCTTCATCTTATTGCTGCTCATCCTTCCTACCACAACAACAAAAATTAAATTCTTGAAAACTACAACAACTACTGCACCTCCTACAACAACACGATGAACAACATTCCAAACCCTTCTGTTCCACTCTCCAATTCAATCACCCCTAAAACTAACAATGGAACAACATCTTCTAATGTTGAACAAAAGAAGAAGCTTATTAGACACAATAGAACCACTTTAAGAAAGAAACCTTCTTCTTCTACCTCTCCTAATGGTACCAACCACAGCGTATCACCATCCAATGGTGGTAGTAACGCTTCGTCACCACCAAGAAATATGATTACATCTCCTTTAAATTTTGTTGCTATTAATCAAAACCAAGGTACTACACCATCTAAAGTTATCCACTTTAGAAGAATTCCTATCGATACTACCCAAAATGATTTGATGAATATGTGCCAACCTTTTGGTACTGTAACAAACATTTTGCTTTTAAAGAATGGACAAGGATTGGTTCAATTTGCTGAAGTGGATGGAGCAATAAGTTTGATAGAATCTTTCAACAATAATCCTGATTCACCATCATTTGTTATAAGAGATACTAAAGTATACCCAAATTATAGCAGCCACACAGAATTATCAAAAGGATTAATTTCTAAATCTGATAATGGTCTTGCAAATAATGGAAAACAACAAGATCCAAACCACATTCTATTAGTTACTATTAGCAAGTCTAAATCCACTGATGTTAACATTGATTCCCTCCATGAAATCTTCTCACTTAAAGGTTCTTGTTCAATTGAAAAGATTGTAATGTTTAACAAGACAGCAGGTTTGCAAGCTTTAATTCAATACAAGAATGTTAATGATGCGCTAGAAGCAAGAAAAAAGCTTCAAGGAGAGACACCATTCTCAACAAGTGAAAACTTGTTAATCCAATTTTCCAATCTAAAAGATCTTACCGTTCACCAAAACAGTGATAAAGCCAGAGATTACACAAAACCACCACAACAACCCCAATCAAGCGTTTCCTCTCCAACAACTACCAACACTACAAATTCTACTAATACGGTCGCGGTTTCTTCAACCCTACCATCTACAAATAATGCACCAACAACAGTAATGAAGAGAAGTGTAGCTGCTAACGTTCCAACTACAACAATTTCACCACAACAACCTCTTGTACAACAATTACAAGACCAACGTAGCCGCAGTAATTCTACTTCATCTGGAGCATTTGAACATGTTCAACATCAAGTTGTTATGCATCCAACACAACATGTTCCTCCAAACAATACTCCTATTTCCTTTATGAATAACCTTCCAACTTCTGCCATTAACAACTCACCTAATGTTACAAACACAAATAACTCAAATTCTCGTGTTTCAATGACTCATTTACCTGATAATAATGCCAATCTCATGAGTGCTAGCTTCTTTTCATATGCACCTTTTGCTCCTCACAGAGAAACCTTTGGAGCATTCTCTCCTACAATACCATCTGCTCATCATACGGCCCACTCTACAAATCATCAAAGTAATGGAAATCCTCACCATCCACATAATCATCATCATCACCATCATCCAACTAACTCGGTTCAAAATCAATTTTTGAATCATTCTTTCCTATCTCCAACAACACTTAACCAAACATTCAATGATAAAATTGTAATGTCTCCTAATGGTGTTGTAGTTCAAATGCCAGATAAGCTTGTTATGACTAATGTTGTTCAAAACCCAAGTTCCAACCCTAATGGTCAATATCACTTGTTGAATGGTGGATTTACTCATATGCAAAATTCCATCAGAAATGGTACTCCAAACACTGCCCCAAAGAATACTACTAATGGTACCCTTAATGGTATTATTTCTGCTCCATCATCTAGTTTATCAATTTCAAATGAAAATGGTTCCTCTCACCAAATTCGTTTGAATTTGCAACCAAACAACCAACCTCCAACCAACCCTACTAGATCTCAACCTTCTTTGGGAACTATTGGTTCAAGTAGATTGCTTTCAAATCCTCAAACAACCTTACATACTCCAACTGAAGAAACAAATAGTATCGAAGAAGAAATGGCATCTGAAGAAAACATTGATGACCAAGAAGATGAAACTGCTGAAGAAGGTGATGATTCAAGGGATAATGGTGCTAATAATGAAAAATCATCAGTCCTTTTAGTTTCAAACTTTAATGATAAGAAGATGAATTGTGATTTGTTATTCAATCTCTTCTCTTGTTATGGTTACATTCACAGAATCAAGATTTTCAAGACCAAGCCTGATCATGCTTTGGTTCAAATGGCATCACACAAACAAGCACTTAATGCTATTAGCAGTTTGAAGGGTGTCCAAATATTTGGAAAAACATTATCAGTTAACTTTTCCAAGCACACTTTTATTAATACCAATAAGAGTGATAACAATATGAAAGATTTTACAAAGACAAATCTTAATAGATTCCCAAGAGGTGCTTCTACTAGTCAAACCTCTCCTTCCTCCAACAACTCACTCACAAATGGAAAGCAACACAATAAGCTTTATATGTGCCAACCAACTCATACCCTTCATATTTCAAATGTTCCATTTGAGAAAGATGAAAAAGGAAAGGAAATTCTTACAAACATTTTCTCACAATTTGGTGAAATTGAAGGTTTGAGAGTTTTCAGACATAATGACAAACCTATGGCCTTAATCAAATTCAAAACAATCACTTCAGCTGCTGAAGCTCTTGCAACTCTTCATAACGAAACTATTTCTGGCAAACACATGAAGGTTGCCTTCTCCCTCAATTCTGTTATTCCTCAAAATAATAACAAGAAATAATTTTCTTTCACAATTAATCATGACTGAAACATTATGTGGTGGTAATGTTTTCAGTCTTTTCAATAAAAATTTAAAATTTAATTTTTATTAATCAAATGTTATCTTCTTTCTTCCATATCTTGTGTAATGAGAATTAAAAGTTTCCAATGTTTGTCTTGAACCATATTCACCATTTGTTAGTTGATTCAAATCTTCTTTTGCCTTTCCATCTAACTTTCTTGTCATCATTGTATTAAAAGTTGTTTCAAATTGAGCATCATACTCATGTTCATGAGGAGTCGGTTTTGTTTTTGTTGCTTTAAAAGTTTCATCAATTTCCCTCTTTGTTTGAAGTTTCTTGTTATATAGATCCGATGTTTGAGCAGTTGTATAGGGATTAAGGGTATATTTCTTTCTATCTATTTCCTCTAATTGTGATTCATTCTTTTTCTTATCGACATGAAGGGTATTTGGATTAATTTTTTGGGGTGGTAAGGCATGAACATAATAACTTTCTAACTTGGTTTTCTTTTTTGATGGAGATGGCACACGATTAAGAAGATGAGGTGGTTTAGGAAGTAATTCTTCGGAATTTAAAGCTCTCCTAACAGTTGCTGAATTTAAATGATCTCCTGTATAATTTAAATGTTGATGTTGTTTTTCGTGTGTCATTTCTGTTGCTCTATTCTCAAGTCGCTTATGCTCATCATCCACAAGGAAATCAAAATTCTGATTCCAAGCATTTCTACGAGATAATGAGTAAGATCCTACTCATCACAACACTTACCGAATGACTGATTCATTCTTTATTGAATTTCTCCAAATTCTATCATTATTTACAATTAGTGAGGGATCCACATCTTTCCATCTCAAACCAAAGGTTCCATTTTCTTTATCCTTGCTCATCTTTTTTTTTAATTGGTATTAGTGTTAAGCATCATCACTTCATTTTGATGTAACGGTCAGAGATGAAAAATCGCTGTAGATTTGTTTTGGCGGCTAAAATAAGATAACCCTTCTTGATTCGAGATATTAAAGGGCAAGCTCTCTCTCAAGATTTTCCCCTTTTCCATTATAAAAGTATCCCTTCCATACTTTACCATCATCACTTGTAAAACGACCTCTTCCGTGCATCTTATTATTCACCCAAGTTCCTTCATAACGTTGAGTCTTGTTTGGCCATGTATAAATTCCATTACCTTCCATCAATCCCTTTACAAAATCACCTTCATATTGAGATCCGTTTGCCCAAGACATCTTTCCTTTACCATGCATTAAATCATTCTCAAAGTGTCCTTCATAAACATTTGATCCATCTTTATAAATTCCGAATCCATGTTTTTGTTTTTGATTTGTTTCTTCATTAAGCATCCACTCTCCATCATAGATGATATCATCATTGTAGTAAAACAGTGCCTTGCCAGTTTTTTCTTCTTCTGGTACAACGTTCTTACCTGCAACAGGCTTCTTCTTTGGATCTTTGGACATTTTTCTTGGGTTTGTTTTTGGAGGTAAAATGCAAATACAATAATTTTTACATCACTTTCCATCATAACATCCAGGTGCACTGCGTATTCTCTTCATGTATTAACTATTGAAGAATAGTATTAAAGAACATACTTTGGAAAATACTGTTATGATAACCTTCCTGATAAAGACCAACAAAGTAAATATTCTAATTTTTACTCAACTTAAAAAAAATATCAAAATTGTACAACAACATGTCATCATCTGAGGAGGAACCAATGAAAAAGTCCGTCAAGGGTATACTCAAGAAATATAAAGATAATAAGAGGAGGTATGATTAAATAATAATAATATTATTGATGGATTAATATTTTCTAGTCAAATAACATTTCAATTTGATGAACAAAATCTTCAAGAGAATGAACATATCAAGAAATTAATTAAAGAAAATTGTCAAACAATTAATGAAGCAAAAACACCATATAGATATAATTTTGATTCCGATTCGGAAGGAGAAAGTGATCCTAACATTCCTAGGAGAATGACTCCTGTTGAACATATGGATAGAATTAGTAGTGCTTTGGAACGAAAATTAGAAAATCTAAAATGTGGAAGTGATGAAGAAAGTAATGATCATACTATGAATACAACAGATGATCATCATGTAACACCAACAAAATCAATTCCGATCAATAGACAGATTATTGAAGATAACGAATACGGAAGTTATTCACCAAAATTTGGAGAATTAATAATACCTAATGATCTTAATGGACATTCACCAAACAAACATATTGGATTTTCAATGGAAAACCCTTCACCATCATCATCTATGGAAACTAAACCTGAAGGGGATCATGAGCATGAAACCCCTGAATTCAAGCAAAAGAGAAAAGAACATTACAATGAATATTTAGTAATGAAGAGAGCAAGAGAAAGAAATCAACAATTTTTCAAAAATGGTGAAGTAAGCGAGGATGAAAGTGATAGCAGTGATGACGAATAATTTTAGAATGAAGTTTCTAATAGATTCAAGATGTTTTTAATTTCAGATGATTTGATTTCTTTTGATTTTAAGCTGATACATTTAACAAATTCTTTTTGCAACAATTGGAATGGATTATCATTAGCAAATCTATAAATTATCAATCTTAATGCGTTTAGTTTTTCATTTGGTGTTCATTAATATGTAAATCTTAAAATCTTATCTTTTTCATTATTAATTTATATTGCATCGATTTTGATATTTTCAAATAACTCATATCTTGCAATAACATCTTCTCTTTGTAATAATTTTGAAAAAAAGATAAATAATCTCTTAATATTCTCATTAACTTCAAAGCAACACATCTTCAAAAGCTCATCACCTGTGTAGAGAAGGTCAATATGGTAGGGACGAACTATACCTTTATAACTAAGCTGAACAACAGTTCCTCCTTCCACGACTAATTGAGGAGCTTCTTTACCTTCTTTAGTCAACTGGCAGATGGTCCTAGATATACTTAATCTTAAATGAATTTGAGAAGCATTAATGGTGATTAATTTTAACTTTGGAAAAAGTGAAACATCAAATTCTTTAACATTCCAACAACCTTTCAATGAAATTTTCTCTAAATTTGGGTAATTGTAAATTATTTTCATAAATGAATAATCATTCAATTTGTGAAAGCCATCCAAAATCAACACTTTCAAATTTTCAAATCCCTTATGTAAATTCAATGTCATATTGTTACAAATCATATCTTGTCTTTCAAATTCAGCTTGTATTCCAGGATCATTCTCCAAAATCATTCCATCAGTCAACTCAATCCTTTGAAAGTTTGGATACTTTAAAAATGCTCCCTTATTGATTCCTGTATTTATCTTTTGTATCTTTAGAACCAAACTTTCAGAAAATAAACAAGATAAATCCAAGATGGAAACTCCATATTTAATTCCATCATGCAAGAGTCTGTTTTTACATCTTGTTTGTGTCCATTTCTTTCCTATTTCCTTTAACTGTTCTTTAGGATCCGAACTTTTAAAATAATGGATTACAGTTGCTAACCATTTGGATTGATCAATCGAAGATAATTGAAAAGGTTCAAAGAAGGAGAAAATAAGAGCCCACACTTCAGATGGAAGCTGCAAAGCTCTTCTTGGCATTTTTTCAAAGGTTTTCGATCAGATTTAACTTGGATTGACTTTTAAACTCTAAAAGAATGTTGTAAAACTGTAACACATTATTTGTTGTAAAGTGTTTAGCAAGTTAACAGTTCCATAATTTCCTCTATTGATTCTGAAAGTTGAATGAATTCAGGTCCGTAATCTCTAGTTAAATTATCAATCCGCAACCTTACTCCTAATCCATCTAATCCATGAAGGCAACTTGTTGCCAATAATAAAAATTACATAAAGAATTAATTAAAAAAATGATGAAATCAGTACTCAATAAGTTGAAGGGTCCAACTTCCGAGTTGATACACAACAAGACATTTCAAAATTCAAATATTATGATCACAAGAACATTTAAATGTAATTTAATTCAATTAAAAGTGGATAATCAAGGGAAGGAAAATAATTATTTTATTGCTTCAAGCCAACTGCGAATTTATCCCGATAATTTTTCATACCCTCTAGATGATAATGGAAATTATGCAATTTTACAATTTTCCAAAGATTCAGAGAGTGGTGTGTATGAATTTTATCATGTTGAAGTACCAGTAGCTTTCAAAGGAAAGGGAATTGCAATGCCGTTTGCAAAGGCTTGTTTTGATCATGCACTGGAAAATAATTGGAAGGTCAAGGTAACTTGTACCTATTTGAAGTGGAAGTTTTTAGAGAAGTATTATGATACTTACGAGAGAATTCTCGTAGACTAGGTGTTGAGAACTCATTTAACATCCTCTTCAATTACCACTTCGACTGGGCTAGAAAGAGATCAAAACAGTAGAAATTTCAATTCAAGATACAAAAAGAATTGGGCTTGGGAACGATAATTATGAGAGCCGTTTCTATGATGGAAACGATGGAATATACAACACCACAATTTGGATATCCTAACTTTGTTAAATATTATCATTAAATATTGTTGTTACAATACTGTTAAACCAAGGTACCAACCAGCTGTTGTTTTTCCTGTTACGCGAAGAAAAGCGCTAAAAAACGCCGAAAACGTTACAAATTTATTCGACCAATCCAGCTGGGTTGTATTACAAAAAAATATTGTAACTGCCGTGTGCAGCCTATTGCTATCATCATCCTCATCTAGTTACAACTCTTGTAACAAAACAAATAATTCCTGATTCAAAAGTAGTACACACAACATCAAAATAATTTAAACATCATGAGTAGTAGTAAGGATAATTCATTACCTGTTCGGGAGGAAGAAGAAATGATGAACATGGACCACGAAGATGATGATGAAGAAGATGAAGAAGAAGAAATGATGGACCCTAACACTGCAGCCCAACATCACTTGTACCAAATGCAAGCTATGCAACAAGCAGGATATCCAATGCCAACACATGGAGAGATGGACCCTAACACTGCTGCAGCCTATGGTGTACATCCAGGATATTCGGGAATGGATTACTCAGCAGCTGCAGCCTACGGTGTTGATTATCAAATGCAACAATTATATTATCAACAGAGTATGCAACGTTTCCTATCTTCTCTTCCTCCTTCACAACAACAACAATACCTTGCTCAAATGCAACAACAACAGAGAAATCCACAAATGATGAAAGCCTATGCAACTTCGGCCGCTACTCAACAAAAGTATTCCACAGCATCAACACCTTCCGGTTATGTTGCTTCATCAAGTGTTGATCCATCTGTTGCTCCTCCTTCACCTGAAAATTCATCACTCACTCCAGAGGATGGTGGAAAGAAGAAGAGAGGTAGAAAGAATAATGCTGATGGTGAAGGTAAAAAAGGTGAAAAGGCTAGACAACGTGCCGTCAGACATAACTGGACTCAAGCTCAAGATGATGCTCTCAAGAAGGCCATTAATTCACAACAATACAGCGAAAATGGTCAAAAGATTCGATGGACAAAGATTTCACAAGAAGTTTTCGGAAGCAAATTAACACCACA